CGCAATTGCTTCCGCCCTTTTTCCCTCCGTCCTCGAGATGGATACCCCTTATATCGTAGGTTATATCCACTCCCGAGGTAGTAAGAGGGCGAGACTGTATCCTATAGTCCCGACGGTCACGAGTTCATACCCCCAAGTGCCATAAGTATCTCCTATCTGGCAAACGTATCTAGCTGTTTAGCGGACGTGCTTAGACCATCCTAGCCCAGTTCGCTTAGCGAGCGAGAGTATTGGCTATCTTCCTGCTCCGAGAATTGATAGTGCGCAATCTTGATTTCGCCCTCCATCTCTTTCTCTCCTTCTCACCGTCTTTTTTTATTATGCATCATTCGAATAAGCTCCACTCTGAGCCTCCGAGCACACTCAATTTGTTTGTAAATTGCAAGACGATCTAATAATATTTGGTTTGACAGAGTCGCACTGCCCCTCACCCTTCGATAAGTGTTGCAGCTCGAGGCGCGCATCGTTAATGAACGTCACATCATTTCTCCAAGTATCTTTGATGACATCCATTCTTATTGCTCGCAAGCTATTATCGCGAGGAGAAAATTGTATAAATTTATTTTCTCGACAAATGTGATTTTGGCGAGAGATATGTGATTTTTAAAAAACTCTCTCTCTGAAGAATCTTGGTCCGCGCTTTGCATGTCACGTGCAATATTCGCAAACATCCCATACACAAAGCGCCAGTCACGAATGACAATCGCGCAGAGTCGGGAACAGTGTCCCTTTCGGTGTACAATCAGGATTTGTCAATTTTACATCAATTTTACATGTACGAGTTAATTTTTATGCACTTGAGCGAAGAGTGTTGGCTGTGCAAATTGACCCGACGACAGGCGCGTTTACCTGTCAGAAATAGAATTCAAATGTCACACATACACATCGTTGTCGATTCCCTCTTATATCTCGGTCTTCGTTTGTCGGTGTTGTTTAACGACTCGCGCGCACTGTCTTTTTGCCGCAGGCAGGACTCAAAGGGAGCATTGTGTGTGAAAGAGAGAGAGATCCGTGTCTTTCGTTCGCACTTTTTTCCACCTTCGATTCTCTTGGCGATGCAAAGGGAATCGTGTCGCGCGAAAATAAAAACGCGCACGCTCACGTGCTCGCGCGATATGTCACGCGTGCATGCGTGCAAGAGCGTTTACGTAGGCTAATGTAATACGGGTGATGATGTCAGCGAATCGGACACCGACTAGGTGGGTCTCACCGGTTTGATTTATTTCGTTTCGAATGTCACTTGCGTTACGCGCGCACGCGTAGAAGCCATTGCTTTTTCGATAAAATTGTTACATGTCCCGCTATTCGCGGGCGTGTATCGCAATCCTATGAAACGACCGGATTACGTGCACGCAGATATGGAAAATGCCGCTTCACATGTTACAGATTATAAACACGATCGGAGACGAAAATAGAATCTGTGACGTATAGTTTTAACATTCGGAAAGTTTATTGTCCTCTCTCGGTAGGAAGTACATAACAGCGTAAGTAAATAATTAAGTTGCGAAACAAGATTGACAGATATTCATAAATCTTTTTTTCTTATCTTGAAGGTACTATGTAATAAATAGGAAAATTTTTAAGTTGTTATTAAAATTATTTTTACGGCAGCAATTTTTAATAAAATTATATACACTGTTATAATTTGTGATCTGCGATTATTTTGTTAAAAATAAATTTATATTCGTCGATTCGTAACGAGAGAGTATAATATACAACGTTGTAATTTGTAAAATACAAATATTTCGAAATTATGTATAAATAGTGTCCAATATTTCAAAAAATAATTATTGCGCATAATGAAATTTTTTACTTGTTTACTTTCTTTAAACAAATATTTAATAAAAAAATTAAATAATTTGCGAGAAAGATTTATTGAGATTAATAATATTAAATATTTATCATATTTTGATAAATTTTTATCAAAGTATGATGAATAAAAATATATATACCTATAATTTTTATCTTTATAAATAATATAATTGTATAAGTATCTTAAGTATATGTATATATGTGTATAAATCATTGAAATATATTACAATATATTATATATATTTATATAAAAAAATATAAATATTTTATTATTTCAAATATTTCCGTATAAAATTTATTCTATACGCATTATATTACAGTAATGAAAAAAAATTAATTACTAGATAAAAAAAATTAAGCAATCAATTTTATAACTAGCAAGTAATAAATTAAATAAGTTATAAATTTCGTACCTTACGCTGCTCCGTCAATGCTTGACTCCGAACATTCTCCTCTTCTCTTGTTGATGATCCTTTGTTGCTCATTGATGGCACTCACACTCATTCACGAAAACATTAATTACACTCGCGCACACATTAATTAGCAGAATACGATTATCGCGCGGCACTTTACACGGCACTCCTGATGTTATCGCACGCAACGTGCATCTTACTATATTGTGACAAGAGAACAATGTAAAGACGATTTGTGCTCGAAAATCACGCGATTAAATCCATTTTGCTGTATTCGTCGTGACGAGTAACATTTATATATTCGTATTTTTTATATTCGAATTTCATTCTTTTGAATTTTAATGTAAATGTAATTAAAAATCCACATCTCACAATATTTGAAAGTATAGATTTGCCGACTATTTATACAAATAGATTTAGGAGATGAAATAAATTGCAAAATACGAAGAGTATAACAAATATATAACGATATTACAAATATCAATTTGTGCGATGCATTTGTAAATATTAGAATATGTATATGTGAGATTGATTTTTTATTAAATGTGTTATGATATTACTAGTTCGGAATTGATCTGTATTATATTCGCAATGTTCTATTAATGACCGAGAAACACGAAAATGATATCAATATCATTGTGATACAACACGATACGAACCGAGTTATTGATTAGTTTGGTCAAAAAATACATAATCGAGATTTAAATGTTGCGAGCATAGTACATTTCCAGCATACAAAAAATATACCTATTGTTAACAAATAGTTCATGCTGTTGTGAGTTTTTGTTATTTGTATCGAATTGAAGCCGCTTTGAAATAATATCGCAATGAGATAATAATTTATAATTCTTCCTTCTGAATATATGACAAGGAAAACATCTGCTTTGATAAATAATTGTTGTAATTATTCTCTATAAATTGGAAATTATCAGCCTATACAATTAATTAATTTACGCGATTAACAAAGTAAACATATCAATGCGATAATCAAAGCAGATACTACCTACTTTTCTCGATACATTCATTTGATGCATAAATTAAAGTAATACGGAACACGACTTCAACATTATTGTTTTATTGCTACATTTATAACGCTAATTATTTCCTCAAGTATGCTGGAAATTAAATTTTGTCGATTTAATTGTGATGTATTAATTACTCATTCATTACTAGATTGCATAATAATATATGCGAATCGCAAAATTGAGTGGTTAAATTAACAAGATACGATATTTAGTAATGATAAATTTGAAAGTCAAAAGAAGTAGAATATTTCGTATACATTTATTTCGTATTGCACGTTCCGTCAGGAAAGGGGGAGGGGATGACAACACGCGTTGTTCGACGCTCGTGACGTAACGCGCCGTTTACATATCGTGACCTTGCTATCATTCATGCGGCGAGACTGCAAGACAGTAGTGATGTGTGAGCCGCTCTGTGCGTCGTGTTACTTTCAAAACGCGATTGTTTCCTACCATTGACCATGGTAACAATTAGCGATTAATAAATTAATCGTTAATAGTAAGATAATTAATAAATTCTCATATATGAAGGACGTGGAGTGGCTATTAAGTAACGTAAAGACTATGAATAATACGTATATTTCTCATAGGCTTTTGAAATATTTATGTTCGCAATATAAAACCGAGATTATACGTACATTTTCGGATGGTCTATCGCGTCTTTATTCGCCATTAACTCAACTTGCGTAATATTATTCGGTATTAAAGTGAAGCGGATATCATTTTTGTGTTTTTTTGGTTGCAAAATGTCACGAAATCTAGTTTGGCTCGAATCCAAATTGAACAAAATCGCGGCACGGTAGAGTAAGAGAGAACAGTCGTAATTGATTCCACGTTATTAATGTCTATCAATATATTACATAAATTTTCGGTGTTTGCTCATTGTTAAATCTCGCATACTTCAAAAGATTTAGTCAACCTAAATCTATTATACATTCAATTGAATATTTATCTTTTATTTTAATTTGTATATTTGTTATTCATTTATATGTAATAAAATAATAAAATTGCTTTAAAATGCGAACATATATTTTCCAGAATAATATTATCGCGAGTTGCATGTGATTTTGACTGATTTTCGAGTAAATTAAAATTTTTATTCTTCGATTGCGATATAAGAAGATGCGTGTCAATGTCGGGAGTGCCTTATAAACTATTACGCAATCTTGGTATTTTATTAATTAGTGTGAGTATAATAATCGTATTTACGCAAGTAAATGTCAATGCCATCAATGACCTACAAAGGAAATAATCAATAAAAGAGAAGGAGTATACCCGGGATAGCATCAGAAGACAATGGAGCAATTGTCGAGTGAGATTTTATAAATTATTCAATTTATTTATTAAATTTGTTGTGAAATTAAACATTCGTTCGATTATCCTTGCAACGATTCATTTTTTATTAGTGTATAGTGATACATATAAGACAGATTTATGTGAAACACTTAATAAAATATTTACATAATATATAATATATAATATATTTTAATATTAATTAGGATTTCTAAATGTTTAGATTATATTTATATAAAATATTATATTTTTATTAAATTTTTATAATAAAATTTTATCTTCATCATTTTATAGAAATTTACATTTTACAGAAATTTTTTTCGATAATTATGCAATCTTTTATTAAATATTGTTTGAAAAACGTGAATAAAAAGTTAAATAAATTTCGCGCAATATATTTTTAAAATATTAATTATTTTGGACACTATGTACATAATTTGGAAATATTTATATTTTACAGATAACAACATTGTATATTACAATTCCGCTGTTGCAGATCGCATCGGTGAGTCTTAAATTCATTTGTATTTCATAGTTTCCGAGTGTAATAGATTTTTAAAAAAATTACATGTATTTGCAACTCGTAAAGAGACAAGTCGGTTTAAATCCTCGTTGTTACATGAATTTATCACGCGTAAACTTGTTGCAACACACTTTGTTTTTTGGTCATTAAGCCGGTTGATGAGCCGAAAACTTTTTGCAATATTAGCATCAATGCTTTAAAAGGGGATGTCAATAACATTATCTCTGTTAAGCTTATTTTTTAACCTACTGAATCTGTCTATCAGAAACAATCGTATATTATATTCGAGTGGCTATTGTGCGTTGATGCGGTATAATTATTTCATATTCATACAATAGGTGATGAAAACATTATATGTGTGTTAATATAATAAAAAAATGTGGAGCTCTTATTTTAAATATGAATTATTATATACGCACATTTCAATGAATCATACATTCATTTAGCTTGCATAGAATGGAGTCGATATCCTTTGCGGAAAATTGCTCTGGTAAAATATATTTAATTAAAAAAATTTTTTACGTGAAAGCTACAGTGCCAATCTGATCTTGTCGTTAATGGAACAGTATTAAATACTGCTTCCCCATTGCGTGTAATACATTTTCGGATAAATATAGCACGCATACATATAATACAATGTGACGAGTAAATGCAGCCGAATTTTTTGCATAACGGGCGACATATTACAATCTTTGGGGGCATCTGACTGGCGAGATAAATTGAAATTTATCGCTCGAAATGAGGAAATTTTCTGAAAGGGAGAAACGAGAGCAGCCGGAAGCCTTTCACGCGTGTAGAAGATACATGCGCGCGTAAAGGGAGGGGGAGAATGCCGCTGCAACTTTCTTGCGTGCATCCTGAAAGATACATATTGTGCGCGACGGGGATATGCGTGACGGCCGGCGGCGCGTTTCAATAATTTTCCCATGGGTATAAATTTCCGCGCACGAAAGCTTTTATTCGGCGACTTTGCTCCACCTTCTTTGAATTTTATTATCTTCCGTTAGTTTCGAAACATGCGACGTGACGCGTTCTCAGACTTTTGTATCGAATCCTCTTTAGAGCGCTAAATGACTAAAAATAAATTCACCGCACTTTTTTACTTGTTTATGGTATTATTCTTAGCACACGGAATATAAAGCACAGACATTTATTTTAAGATAATCAAGTAAAAGCAATAATTGAAATAATTGAATAAACAATTTTAAATAATTAAATAAATAATTTTAAATAATTGAATAAATAATTTTAAATAATTGAATAAATTCCTATAAATAATCTCGCTATATTTATTTATTTATTGATTAATTATTAAATACATATAACAAGAAGAGCGCACTTGGGAAAGTAAATTTTTTATATGATATAAAATATTTATTGTATGACGTTATGAATTTATAACAAACGGCCTCCTTTCTTTTGCTTTCCAAAGGTGTCAATTATTTTCGAGCGATTATTACGCGACTTTATCGATATCCCTCTTGTACTGAAATACAGTGTAAGCATGGCTTGCATGTAATCGATCGCGACTAATCGATTTTCCTCTGGAATGCCAATACGAGCGCATTGGACGGCAACGTGCGGTCGTTCCTAATCTCGGGATGCTGAACGAACGCACGTACATCGGTATCTTGCCGGGACAACACGACAATCCGTTACGGATCTTTGTGTGGACGAGCTTTCCAGAGCGTACACATCGGGTTTACTATCCTACCCCGTGCCGTCTAATGGCTCGGTCTCCAACCTCCCTCGCGTGGAAACTCTGCCCGGAACTCGATGAATTTCGAAACAGTTGGACGTGTCGCGTTGCCGCTCGCTCTTCGACTTGTCGCTAAACTTCAGGACTTCCTCCCCAGTCGCGGTAGTAATTGTCATGCGGTTCTCCTGCAGGAGTCCGCGGCGTTTCGCGTTTTAAGTCATCAAGTGGACAATCCGTTGACGGAATTAATGGATGATGTTGCCGTCTCGACAAGTGTCACTGTATAAAATTATTCTCTTTAATGTTTAACCGAGCAAATTGGACGGTCTTCCACGTGACTATTGGATTATAATTAATTTATTATAACGATTTATTTAGCGAATCAGTCATCAAGTGGACAATTCGTTGGCGAAATTAATGGATGATGTTGCCGTCTCGACAAGTGTCACTGTATAAAATTATTCTCTTTAATGTTTAACCGAGCAAATTGGACGGGTTTTCACGTGACCATTGGATTATAATTAATTTATTATAACGATTTATTTAGCGAATCAGTCATCAAGTGGACAATCCGTTGACGAAATTAATGGGTGATGTTGCCGTCTCGACAAGTGTCATTGCATAAAATAATTACCTTTAGTGTTTTAAACGAGGAAATTGGACGGTCCCCCATATGATAATTGGTTTAGAATTAATTTGTTATAAGGATTTATTTAGCGAATCGATTGAAGGATGCGCGAAATATCAACTTTCGCGAAATCGTGATTTCCTTTCCAGGCCACTGCGAGAACTTTGCGTGAAACGTGAACGGACTCCATTTGCATTACAGTTTAGAGAGCGGACTTTGTTGATTAATGATTCCGGTACCTACATCTGCTCGCGCATATACAGGTGTTCATACAGATCATTTCAAAGGTACCGTTCGTGAGCGTGTCAGGCTAGCTTAAGACGCCTTCGTTTCGCTGAATTAATATGTGGGTATTAATTTCTTTTCGACACACCGCCCAACTATTGTTTGAAATTATACGTGCTGTCATCTTCTGATAAATGGGTCTCCATCGTGTAAAACGTGTAGCTACTGCACGAAACGGATAAATTGCAAACGGCTCGTGTGAGTCAGAAAAAAAATGTCGACTGACACTAATGCGGATTAATCGCCCGGGTAAAAAGATCTCTCGTGCCTGTTGAAAAGAGAAAAAAACTAATGTCTGCATACATTTTGCATTCCTCCTATTGATTGCTCGCCGACATTTAAATGCCGTAAAAATTCCAATAAGCGACATCGACGTGTATTAATAAACATTAACGTGTGCGCCTAGAATGTGCTTTCACTATCTTGGCCGTTCGTTCGCGCGATAACAAGGTCTGTTTAACATTTTTTAGTAAGATGTATCGACCCCGAGCGATAAATAATTCCAGGAATCTTTTACGGCGCCTGCTCTTGATACGTGGATTGATATACGCGACCCAATTTCAGATGCTACCTCTACGCGATAAGGCGTTCACGTTCGAAAGGTGCATCTGAATCATCGAGGGATGGGGGGACGCTTTATTCTCGACTAACACCGTGTATCATTTCTCGCGACAGAGATCTTTAGAGAGAGTTATAAAGATAAACCGTAGATATAAAGATTGAGGGAGAGAGCGAATTTTAGTCTCTCTTGTTTATTACTTACCGTGAGAGAGAAGAAGGAGGGAATGGGCCGCCGTTAACGCGACAAAGAAATCCGTCTTAGATTCCACGGTCGATTGCAACCGCGGCTCCCGCGAGATAACGTTATAGGCCAACGTCGGAGGTATAATTACGATGATTTATCGATTGGCATACGAGCCATTCGTACCACGAGTCGAGCACGACGTGCGGGATGTCCCGTATTAATCATAGAACACAAAAGCTCTTACAACTTTGCGAAAGAGTTTACCTGAAGCGCCGGAGGCGACTCGGTGGCAAAACTTGCTTGTAACTTTGTTTTCCCGACTCCAATTGTTGCCACGGCGAGGAGACGACTTCCTGTATCCTCTTGCAATATTTTCCATATAATTTTGCCTCTTGATTGTAGATATTTGTTTCTTGAAATTAGTTAATAACATGTTCAGTACACATGGAATATGCCCGAGCTTCCGCTCCTTCATGTCGTTTAACTCGAAAATTGTCGCAATTATGCATCAACGTGGAATGTAAAACAAATATTTTATTATGAAAATTATGCGAAAGCTTTAATGAAAAAATATAAAAAAGATGTGTGTGGATGAGCAAATTTTATATGGAATAATTCATTACTTTTATGTACACGTGAAACTTCGACGTTTTTTTCATCGCTCAGTCACGTAATGCGAAACCCGCGATGTCGGGCGTGTCGAGAATTTTTGATGGTAAAAAGCACAGAATTATACCGGTAACACGGCATATATTTCGCGGATTATCCATGCACGCGGAGATATCCGATCAGGTCGATAAAGTTTCCAATCACGGGCCGTTATACGATCCGCCTTTCGTCACGATCGTCGTGTAACCCGGATTAAATCGAATTCGCCGCTCGTGGCATCGTAAAGTCTGGTCTAGGTAGGCTCCGTTTTGCTTACGATGAATAGCAGAAACAACATTCGAGCACGACGACCATAAAAGGATCGATCTTTTCACCTCTGGCGGGTCGGTCGGTCGATTGCGTGTAAAGATTATTCGACTTCCTCCTTGAAAGTTTGACGTCACAGCCATGGCCAATAATAGAACGATACTGAATATTTAACGTGGTAACATTACATTAATCGTGTTTTTTTTCTTTTTATCTTGGACAAATACAACTATATTACGAAGCATTTAATATACAATTTTTTTTAAATGTATTTACAATTTTATTTAAAAATTGATATCCCACTTGACTACACAGAAAAAAAATAAGTGTCAAATCAAAACTTATATATACTTAAACTAACGCGTTCATTGTTTCGTATATACGCAACAATTTATAGTCTTCTTGGAAGAATTTAATAATTTTAAATTTCAATATTATCGTCTTAATTTAATATTGTAATTGTCACCTCAAGAATATATAATTATTTAATTCTACTTTAAGAAAATTATAATCTTTGATTTAAAAAAGTTATTTTCTATCCAATTTTATTTCTTTTCCATTCAAGAAAATTAAATCTTAAATCAGAATAAGAATATATTTTTCTCGATTGAACTATATAAAATGGCTTCATTCAAGTAAGCAATTATTCAAGCAATTATACTTTTCTTAAATTAACGCGATGTAATCTCATTTCAAGATTTCCATGTTAA